TCTACACCTTGTTATCTCAATAAACGTAAAGCTGGATAAACACAGCTGAGGTAATTTGATTTGATTTACTTTTGTCACAAGTACCTAAGTATAGTGAAAAGTTTTATTTTACATGCAGCACAGCAGATCATACCATACAAAGTGCCATTAGGGCAACGTTACAGCTGCAGAGAAGGTGAACAGAGAACAAGCTCAACATAGTTAAAATTTGAGCTGTCCATTCACAAGTCTAATAACAGCAGGGAAGGAGCTGTATTTGAATTTGTTGGATCGTGTGTTTAAGGTTTTGTATCTTCTGCCTGATGGAAAAGGTTGGAAGACAGTATTACCGGGCTGGGAGGGATCTTTGATTATATTGGCTGCCTTCCTGAGGCAGGGGGAAGTATAGATGGAATCAATGGATGGAAGGTTGGCTTGTGTGATGGACTGGGCTGTGTTCACAACTCTCTGTAGTTTCTTATGGTCCTCGGCAGAGCAGTTGTCATATCAAGCCATGATGCATCCAGATAGAATGCTTTCTATGGTGCATCTATAAAAATTGGTAAGTGTCTTTACAGACATATGGAATTTCCTTAGTCTCCTGAAGAAGTAGAGGCATTGTTGTGCTTTCTTGGCCATCACATCAACATGGGTGGAGCAGGACAGATTGTTGGTGATCTTCACTCCTAAGAACTTGAAGTTCTCAACCATCTCCACCTCAGCACCATTGACGCAGACAGGGGTGTGCCCTCCACCTTGTTTCTGAAATCAATGACCAACTCTTTTGCTGACGTTGAGGTAATGGCATGAGAGCAGGACAATAAACCATTGGAAGTGATTTTCTGGCTACAATGAGGTAGATAAGAATTGAGCCAGGTGAGAGCAGTCCTAGCCCAGCTGGATGACAGTGGAGAGGTCAAATCATGTCAAAGACTGCTGATAAGTTAAGAAGAACAGACTCAGAAGAGGGCGAATCTGATGAGTTGAATTGGAGGTTCAACTCACTGAGGATGGGAAATTGTTCAGGGCAGTGGTTAAGGGAGGAAAGCAGTGAAGGTAACTCAGTGATAGTGTTCTTGTTGTACTTGGGATGACAGTCAAGAACGAGGAGTGTGAACGAGAGGCGAGAGTGTTGAAAGAGATGAGATCTCAAAAGAGAAGAAACCGCCAGAAGAGAAGGTGGGGGTGTGTCAGGCTCATTTGTGACCTGGTGATATGCATACACACTGTCAGAACAACAGCATTAACAGGGCAAGTGGTTAGAGGTGTAGCCAAGCTGGGAGGCTTCATTAAGGGGGAAGGTGTCATCACCCCTCAGCCAGTTCCAACAATGCCATAATGTCAGTGCTATTAGTTATTTAACATCTATGGATGCCATGGGCCTTGCTTACAAGTGATCTGATATCCAGAGGGAGATGCATTGTAAGAACATAGAAAATAGAACATAGAACTGTACAGCACAGTACAGGCCCTTCGGCCCATGACGTTGTGCCGAACCTAATCCTAAGGTCTATCTAACTTCCAACCCTACCTTATACTATCATCCATATGCCTATCTAATAGCCGCTTAAATGCCCCTAATGAGGCCGACTCCACTACCCTCTCCGGCAATGCATTCCACGCCCCGACCACTCTCTGAGTAAAGAACCTACCTCTGACGTCTCCCCTAAATCTACCTCCATTCACTTTAAAACTATGACCCCTCGTAATAGCTACCTCCACCATAGGAAAAAGTCTCTGGCTGTCTACTCTATCTATAAAAGCTGAGTGTCTTGATGAGGATCCCAAGAGGAGGTACAGAGAGAAGCTCTAGGCTTATCCAAGATGGAGACAAGCCCTCAGCATCAGCACAGAGTCAGCAGATTGAGGAAAATTGAAGGGTTGGGGTAAGGAGCTGAGGGGACAGAGAGAGGAGAAGTGAAAGGAACCCATGATAGTGGAAGGGGCAGTTGAGGAATGGTAGAGAGAAAAGAAGTTTTTGTTTAATAAAATAAAAGTAGAAATGGAGTGATTGGCTCAAGGCCAGATCAGCAGCCAAAATGCATACACACACAGACTCAGGGGAAGGTCAAGTTACATATCCTAGTTATCTAAATGTATGGACCATGAAAACCTGACAGTGAATGAGAAATAGGAAACAGATTAGAGATAACAGGAAGGAATCTAATGTTAAAATTGTAGTCTTTTCCAGCCCTGTGAAGTGCCTTCCAAGTCTATAACGAGTGACTGTCTGCTTCTTCACCTCAGCATCAGAGGCAGCCAAGTACAAACTGCTATGTCCTGATGGAACCCAGGCTGATCTCAAGGACTTCAGAAAATGTCATCTTGGAAGGGGACCTGGCAATGCCATTGTAACCAGACACAACTACAGAAAGATCACACGGAAATTTCTTGCTGTTGCTCAGGTATATTAATCTGCTGTTATGTTTCAAGGTCTAGATTGTGCTATAGACGGGAGAAAATAATAAACTGAATCCCCCAATTCCCATCCCTTAACGTGTAAAAACAGGTGGGTTGTTTTGGAAAAGGGTATTTCTATGTTCTCTTTAGTGTCTGGTCAACTTAAATGAACAGCAGCAAGCTATAAAATGAAGAAGAATATTCATTCACACATTCAGCCCAAGAAAATTGAAATGCTACATCATTCACACTCACCTTCGAGAAAGATACAATTAAAGGATTCTGTAGCTGTTAAACCAAAGGAATAGTTAGCAGTTCATATGTTGGCTAATATAAAGAGGTCAATCAGTGTCGACCTGATAGAGAAAAGAGTCCTTTACCAGAAGTAAGATCATTGATCCGATATTGGGGAATGGTTTCAGGCTAACAACCTGGTGTTTATTGCAGCATCTCTTTGGGAGAAATGGGAAGCAGTCACGACGATTCCAGTTATTCAGCTCCACCGGCTTCAACGGAAGAAACCTGATGTTTCAAGACGCCACTGAGAAGTTGCTGCTTCTTACAGACAATGCTGACATCGGCCAAGTATTGGGGTTAGACTACATCGCTCTGCTGAAAGGACTGGGCCATGGAGGTGACCCTGCTATCAGTAATAGGCTGAACATTAAATTAAAACAAAGAACAGCGGGTGCTGGAGATCTGAAACAAGAACAGAAAGTCAGCAGGTCTGGCAGCATCTCTGGTTGAACTGAGTTCTGAAGAAAAGTCTCCGAACTTGAAACATTAGCTCTCTTTTCTCTCCACAGATGCTGCCGAACCTGCTGAATTTCTCCAGCAATTTGTTTTGGCTGAACATTGCTCGCTCTATTACCAAAGGAGATTAATGCAGCTGGAGTAATTTATCTTATAATTCCTCAGGTCCCCTAAGCACATTTCTCAAACAGAGGGGCAAGAACTCAAAGCTTCAATCCAGATCATGCACTGGGAAGCAAGGGGCAGAGGCTGCATTGGTTGCCTGAGTTTTGGCAGGACTTGGTTCTGCCAGGATTTTATCCTGTTTCTCCCAGCTAACAATGTTCTACTGGTGTGGGAGACCGGTGGGTTAATGCTCCACCTACATAGAAGAGGACTATAGGATCACAGAATTGTTACAGTGCAGAAGGAGGCCATTCAGCCAATCATGCTCGCACTAGCTCTATTACCTAATGCCAATCTCCTGCTTTTCCCCCATATCCTTATCCACCATAAGAGCATAAGAAATGGGTACAGGAGTAGGCCATTCAGCCCCTTTAGCCTCCTCTGCCATTCAATGGGATCATGGCTGATCCAACATACCTCACACCCACTTACCTGTCCTTTCCCCATAATCCTTGGTTCCCCACTAATCAAGAGTCTATCAATCTCAGCCTTAAACATACACAATTATTCATCTCCCACAGCTCTCTGTTGCAAGGAGTTCCATAGACTCAGAACCATCTAAGGCAAGAAATTCCTCTTCATCTCAGTCTTAATTGGCACCCCTTTATTCTAAGACTAAGCCCTCTGGTCTCGGCTCTCCCATGAGGGGAAACATCCTCCTCAGCATTTACTCTGTCAAGCCCCTTAAGAATCCTGTATGTTTCAATGAGCTCACTTCTTCATTCTTCTAAACATTAGTGAATAGAATCCCAGCCTGTTTAGTCTTTGCTCATAAGACAATCCCTCCATAACTGGGGATTACCCTAGTGAATCTTCTCTGAACTGCCTCCAATGAATTGATAGCTTTCCTTAAATAAGAGGACCAAAACTGTTCACAATACTCCAGATGTGGTCTCACCAGCACCTTGTATAGTTGCAGTTAAACTTCCCAACTCTTATACTCTAAATCCATTGAAATAAGGCCTTCCTGATTACCTGTTACCCTGTGTGCTAGCTTTCAATGTTTTGTGCACAAGCCCACCCCCCAAGTTCGTTTGTGTTGCAGCTTTCTGCAGTTTTTTAATTTAAGTAATATTCTGTTCTTTTATTTTTCTTCACATTTTCCCATATTATATCGCATTTGCCAACTTCTTGCCCACTTACTTCACAATATCTCTCTGTAAATGGTATTCCTCTCACAATCTGCCTTTCCATCTATTTTTGTATCATTTGCAAAGTTGGCTACAGTACATTCACTTTCTTCCATTTCTTTCCAAATAACCATCCAACGGCCTCTCGAATGTCTCAGCTGAACCTGCCTCCACCATATTTCCAAGCAGTACATTCTACACCCTAACTTGTCGCTGTGTGAAAATGTCTTTTTTTCACATAATCCTTGCTTATTTGCAAAAAAAGTCATGTTATGGGAAGAATTGGGTATGAATTATGTTAAACTTGAGCTTCCCATTATTGTCAATCCTTGATGGCCATTCCCTGTTGTAGATGTAATTAAATCCTGGCTGAATCCACCACCTTTTTGCACAATAATAAATTATACTTTGATATGCACAGACTGATAAAGTACAAGAGGTTGAGGTGTAATCACGTATATTCAAAGTTCTATAGATTACTTCATAAACATTAGATGTGCTCATGCTTCCAAAATACCAAAGAATTAAACCATTACTGATTCCTGTCTAACTTCCACTCGCCAAGTGAAAGTTGTTATTTCACTTGAGACAATTATTTCGATAAGATTTGTCGTTCAGGCTGTGGTGAGGTTGTAGACGTGCTCGCCGAGCCAGTGGGTTTGATTGCAGACGTTTTGTCACTCTGCTAGGTAACATTGTCAGTACACCTCCGGTGAAGCGTCAACGTTCTGTACCGCTTGTTATTTATATGCCTCGGTTTGCTGGGGTGATTGGTATTGTTTCAGGTTCTGTTTCTCAGTGGTTTGTACACAGGGACTAGTTCAATGTGATGGAGTTCCGGTTGGAATATCAGGCCTCCAGGAATTCCCTGGTGTGTCTCTGTTTGGCTTTTGCGATTATCGATGTGTTGTCCCAGTCGAATTCGTGTCCTTCATTGTCCGTGTGCAGTGAGACAAGTGAGAATTGGTCGTGTTCCTTGGTGGCTAGTTAATGTTCATTACTTTTCAATTATCAATTTTTGTATCATCAATTGTCTTCTGGTTTGGCCTATGTAGTGTTTCTCACAGTCTTTGCATAGTATTTTGTATATTACTGCTGTTTTGCTGGTTTAGGGTATGGGATCCTTTACATTCGTCAGTAGCTTCACCAGAGGCGATGTTACCCAACAGGGTGATGAAACGTTTGCAACCAATCCCACTGGCTTGGGGAGCATGTCTACAATCTCACAACTAATTCCTCTGGTCATGATGAAGTAAGCAATAATTTATTGGGAAAAATACATTAACTAATGTCAATCCTCTTATTCATGTGTGCAATCTCCCATGTTATCCAGCATTTTTCCATCATAAATAAAAGCTTTTAAAGTTATGCTAAAAAGACAATGACATGTCTTTACTCAGCCATTGCTGTCCAATTTCCATATGGTGGAGCTTTCCAAAAATATCAGCATGAATTGTCGATATTTTATATTTTTATGGGTACTCTCCAAGAGTTGTGCATGGGCTGGGCTCACAATGAACATTGAGACATGCTCACTGCCCTTGCACTAACCTCCAACCTGCCTCCCATTTTACTGGTGGTGGTTGAGGCATCAGGTGACCTACCTGCTCTTGAATCTATTAAAGTCACTTAAGGGCATCATTGTGCCCATGTCGCTATTTTACCCATGGCAGGGCAAAGTCTAGAGATGGTGGGTGACCCAGCAATGTAAACTGCATGCACTGGCATCCCAAGGGAGGTAACCCCCTACCACATCCAATGTTATTCCTTACCTGCCTTTAACTCGGTCTCTCCAGCCTCTCAAACATAATCAGCCATTTCACCCTCCAGCCTTCCTCACTCCCTTCACTGGTGCTGCTGAGGCTAATTGGTTGAGAAGGGACCTCCTCCCCAGATGGGAGGGGAGGTCTCACTGTTGGGTGTGAGGGGTGCTTCTAGCCCAAATTGGTATAGCATGGTTGAGAATGGCCACCTTTTTGGTCTAATTAAAAGAGTCTTGTTGTGTAAGCAATATGATGTTTTTGGTTTGTTGCAACTAATTAGAGGTTGCATGAAATTGACCCACATTACTCCACAGACTGTTAGGTCCTCTGGTCTGTCTCTCACCAACCCCTTCGTCACTCTTCTGAATTCGCTGTGGCATTATCACAGTGGGTAATGCTTACTTCATGCATTCAAGTATTAACTTTTTTGGACCCTTACCATAAAACATAGGAGCAGGAGTAGGCCATTCAGCCCATCGAGTCTTCTCCTGCCATTCAAAGAGATAATGGCTGTTCTGCTATTCCTCCACCCCATTTTCCTGCCATTTTCCATAACCCTCAAATCCCTTACTGATTAAAAATCTACGTATCTCAGCCTTGAACATGCTTAATGACCCAGCTTCAACAGGCCACTGTGTTGAAGAAGTCCACAGATTCACTACCCAATGACAGAAGAAATTCCTCCTCAGCTCTGTCTTAGATGGGCAACCCTTTATTCTGAGATTATATTGGAAGATGAGGAGGTTGAACATTTTTGCCTAATCTTATTCCTAATTTCATTAGCCCCTAAGGTAAGGCTAGAATTTGGGGTAGATAATTGTTCACCTTGCTGTGTGGCAATCTGTCTCAATTCAGATTTTTTAAATTTATTCATTTGTGGGATGTGGACATCGCTGGCCGGGCCAGCATTTCTTGCCCATCCCTAGTTGCTCTTGAGAAGGTGGTGGTGAGCTGCCTTCTTGAAACGTTACAGTCCACCATTGACCTACAATGCCATTAGGGAGGGATTTCCAGGACACAGAAGGAACGGTGATATATTTCCAAGTCAGGATAGTGAGTGGTTTGGAGGGGAACTCGAAGGTGGTGGTGTTCATATGTCCTTGTTCTGCTGTCCTTGTTCTTCTAGATTGAAGTGGTTGTAGGTTTGGAAGATGCTGTCTAAGGATCTTTGGTAAGTTTCTGCAGTGCATCTTGTAGATAGTACACACTGCTCCTACTGAGCGTCGGTGGTGGAGGGAGCGGATGCTTGTGGATGTGGTACCAATCAAGCGGCTGCTTTGTCCTGGATGGTGTCAAGCTTCTTGAGTGTTGTTGGGGCTGCACTCATCCAGGCAAGTGGGGAGTATTCCATCACACTCCTGACTTGTGCCTTGTAGATGGTGGGCAGGCTTTGGGGAGTCAGTAGGTGAGTTACTCACGGCAATTTTCCTAGCCCGTGACCTGCTCTTGTAGCCACTATATTTATGTGGTGAGTCCAGTTGAGTTTCTGGTCAATGATAACGCCCAGGATGTTGATAGTGAGGGATTCAGTGAGGGTAACACCATTGAATATCAAGGGACAGTGGTTAGAATGTCTCTTATTGGTGTTGGTCATTGCTGGGCAGTTGTGTGGCACGAATGTTACTTGCCACTTGTCAGCCCAAACCTGGATATTGTCCAGATCTTGTTGCATTTGAACAGTTGAGGTTCTCTGACTATACATCCTTTTGAGTAGTGTCGATGGTTCAGTTGCTGCCTCTTTGCTTGCATTTCTTTTTGAATGTTGTTGTCACTTGGAATGTAATTTCTTTCAGCTTGACTGTAGTGGAAAACATTTTGGCCAAACCTTAACAGTTACATATTTCCATTTCATTTACAGTACGAAATGTGTTTTTATTCCAACATAACTAACATCTGAAGATTCTGCTTTTCTATTAGGTTCTGCCAAATGTTTGTAAGGCCCAACAAAAAAATGTTGCCAACTTTTCCTTTACCTTTTGTTGTTCTATGTCTTCCATATTTAGAATGAGATTGAGGTCAATACATTTGTTTCTACGTAGAATTGAACATTCTTACTTGTGAAGTACATACAGGTTTGGCATCCCTTATGTTGGAGAGTTGCCTGTGGCATACCTTTAATGTTAAATGCAATGGTCCTGGACCAGGTATTATACCTCTGTCAGCTATAAGCAGTTTTTTTTTGTCAACCAAAGCACACTATCTGGTAATATTGTGATTGTTCCTGTGTCTAACTTGAAGTAGAGAAAATATTAGGTCTAGGTCATTGATTTCCCCTAGAATACCTTTGGGTTTATCTACTACTGTATTGCCTTAATCCCAAACACACACCTTCATACACAGACAGGACAAGACAATACAGCTTTGCAGCTTATTATGGATGGGAAAAATTAGAGGAAAGAACTCTGTGGATCTATAGTCCAAAGTAAAAGGATAGAATAAATGGACTTCTCACACTTTGGTTTCCTATCAATGGGATCAAGTTGTTGTTGGCCATAGAGCTTTGGAAGAACCTCAGTTTGGGTGGAAGGTCAGTTGGTCCTAGGTCTTTGGATTGCGTTAACAGTTCAGCTTTCAGAGTTATTGAGGAGACCAGTGAAGGTGACAGCTGCATTGAATCTCTATGTGACTGGCTCCTTCCAGGATGACTTCTGTGGGATTTCTCAGTCACACAGCACAAACACATCAGGACAGTGGCCGATGCCATTTCTACAAGGTCACATCGGTTCAATGTTGTTCTCCAAAGCTGATGACAGTAGGATTCAGGAACATATCTAACTTCGTCTCCCAGATACAGATGCCATCGGCTACGCATGCATGGCACTGAGAGGACTGTATCACAACAGAATTCATCAAAAGGAAGAGGTTCCATTGATTCATTTCCAGATGACCTGCGAGCACTGTTACCTGGAGGTGTGTGTCCACTATCAGGCACTGACATGACTCCTACATCTTGGACCACTCTAACATATCTAGTGCGTTTGAAGGTCCAGGGGACAAGGGATACCTACTGCTCACTGCGATCACCCCTAACTGATGCAGAGCGCAGATATAATTGTGCCCATGTATCAAGTAGGATCGTGGAGCAGCAGATGATGGGACTGCTGGAGAAGTGGTTCTCCTGCTTGGACTCATCTCCCATTACAGTTTGAGCAGAGTGTGCTGCACTATCTTACTGTTATGCCATGCTCTGCACAATTGGAGCAGGCAGTGAGGTGATATGCTGGAACTGAAGGAATGGGAGCAACCGTCTGAGGGGGAGGAGGATGAGGAAATTAGGAAGAGAGAAAGAGAGTTACTATTTTGAGTTATTTCCAGGCTCCAAACATTAACTGTGTTTCTCTCTCTGCGAGACCGCTTGAGTTTCTCCAGAATTAGTCTGGAAAAAAATAAGGGGTGGCACGGTGTCTCAGTGGTTAGCACTGCTGCCTCACAGCACCAGGGACCCGAGTTCAATTCCAGCCTCGGGCGACTGTCTGTGTGGAGTTTGCACATTCTCCCCGCGTCTGCATGGGTTTCCTCCGGGGACTCCGGTTTCCTCCCACAGTCCAAAGATGTGCAGGTTAGGTGGATTGGTCATGCTAAATTGCCCACAGTGTTCAGGGGTCTGTAGATTAAGTGGGTTATAGGGGGATGGGTCTGGGTGGGATGCTCCAAGGGTTGGTGTGGACTTGTTGGGCCGTAGGGCCTGTTTCCACACTGTAGGGATTCTATGATTCTATTCTATGATTCTAATTCTTTGTATTTCTTCCACATTGTTAGCCTTGGCAGGAGTTTGGCAAGTCCCAGAGAGAAGACAGCATTAGCCAATTTAGTTCCCATGGGGGCAAGAAATAGGTGAAAGGGCCAAGAAGTTTACAAGGCTTATGTTGGCCCTTGGATTTGCAGGCTTCTTGCATCAGCTGAGACCTATTGGATGACCAACAGCTAGCATAGAGGGCAGAGTTGATGGAGGTGGGAGTTCATGTGATAAAGGTAAGATAAAGTCACCATAGTCCCACAGAACCATAGGCCAGGTGCGTCACTAGAGAGAGAGCTACTGGTGAGTTTAAGTCAAGGGGAGAAGTTGAGAAACCGGGACCTCAAGCTGGTACAGGAACCTAATGCATGCTGTTGGTGCTACTCCGCACTATAAAACAGCTGTGCAGCCAACTGAGCTAACCAACCCCCAAGTTCATATGTTGAAACCTTTCAGAATCCATCTAACCAAAATTAACACTCTTTTTCAGGAGAGGAAATTGATGGGGAAAGGAGATCAGTGCAGGGAGGGAGCTGAGGAGGTTGTGAAATAAAATGGTGTACATTTTCTAAATGTAATCTTGTTATATGTTGCTGTTTGCCAGGGACCTCCTTGGAGAATATCATTGTGAGGTGGTGCTGCATTAGTGCAGCTGAGCAAAGCAAGTGTGAAGAATGGGCCCTCAACACAAAATCCAACCCATTAGTCTGTATCAGAGCAACATCCATGAGCGACTGCATAGAAATGATAAAGGTACACAATTTCAATGCATTTTAAATTAAATATTATTGCAAAAATGTCACTCTGTGGCATTGATGTTAAACTAAAGGACGAAGTATTAGAAAGTTTGACTAAAACAATGCTTCAGGTGTCTGAGCAGGGTCTTAAGTGGGGGGGGGAAGGCGGAGAGTTATAAAGGGGTAGAATGTGAAGCCTCGAAATTTGACAGTACAACTGTGAATGGTGGGATAATAGGAGCGGAGGATTTACAAGAGGCCACAGATTATACAGGAAATTCCTAAGGTGGAGTTCAAGAGCTGAGGGAATGAGATCATGATGAGCGAATACAAGGAAGGCTTTAAACCTGAGGATGAGCATTTTAGTTCCAAAGGCATTGGAGGATCGAGGTTAGGAATGATGGGTGTGCAGGAATTGGTG